AAAATATTTGAGCATTAAGGCGCTCTACTTTGATGAATCATTCTCAACCTTCTTCTTCATTGAGCATATCGGCCTAAAGCCTATCTCTATATGCTACCTTCAACATCGGATTCAGGCTGCTGATATAAATGTCCTTTTAACTAAAGTTTGAAGAGCACACTTTAATAATGTCTCTGATTTTTTCTGCCCTTCATGAGCATAAGAATATTGCACAGAGGGCTCGGTCAGCACAAACTATCGTCGGTTTATACAGATCGATCGGTAGATCTCTTCATAAAATAGCTTCACACAAAGTGAAAGTAAGCATAACTCTAAGAAAGTTTAGTCAAGCATAGTTTAGGTTCATCAATCCTACGATATTTAATAAGCCTTCATAAGACGAAATATATCCGAAATGATCCGCCACTTTCGCTCTCTAACCTTTCATTGCATGACCCATAACTACTCAAAATTGGCATTGAGTTTAACACGGATTCATGCTCATGCATTCTATTGATAACACACCATACAGTATATTTATTCTTTCCTAAGATAACATTCATCCATAATTATCAAATCTTTTATCAATCACAATCAGACTCCATCCAGAGTAAGCAGATTAAAAAAGCGTGAATGTTCTCACTGTGAATAGGTATCGATAGGGCCTCATTTATCTATATTATTGGGAAATCAGCAAGAGGTATTTATTCGGTTTTCTGAGGTAGAAAGCGACATTGCATACCCCAATACACAAACAAAATGATCAGGATATTGAATTGGTTGCTGGGGCTGAAGCTCACTCGACTTCAACATCTGAGTTTATGCGCATATTTTGAGTTGTGTCAGCTAAAAAGCACTTTAATAGCTCCTTAACTTCAATAGATGTTCACAGGAAAGTGGGAAAAATTACTTTGATTGTCAGAGTCACCTTCCGCTTTATTATCACCACTTCAAGACAGAAACCCTCTGATAAAGCTGGCTTTGGCCCATGCGCCATTAATGAAAGTAATTTACCGTTTCCATGGTCTTTGAGAAGTGAGTGCAGAAGGTTGCCTTTAGAATAGGAAGTCTGTCAGTTTAGGCCAATAACACCATTAGAACATTTCCCATGAAAAGTATTGAATGGATGAGTTAAGTAATTTCTGCTTCTTTTTTAGATTATTGCAACATATGAATCCTCGTCAACGCCACTGTATTTTTCAAACTATGCGAATCGCACAAAAATACGCGAAACGGCCCCGGAGCAAGAACCTGAATGAAGCTTGACTATGAAATGGTTTAACGAATCTTCATGGATATGTAAAAAACTACTTTGCATTGTCCACACTTAAGCACTCCATAAGTGTGGTCCATAAGGGGCCCTGTCTCAGAACGGCTTCTTAGTGGACCTCAACTTGTTCGACTACGTCGTAACTACTAGAATGGCTCCGGCGAATTGTGTTTACAAATTATCACAATTCGAAGTGAAATAATATCCTGAATGATATTCAACTCTTGGCAAAATCAAAGAAGGCATCAACTAACGATAAGCGGGAAAAATTCATTGAGAAGTCCGGCTGCATTGTGAAGAAATAGGAGTTTATAAAAATCTCCGCTTTCCAAATGAATCAGTATTCTCTGAAGACCTTTGATTATGCTGATCAGGTGGCTTAACCTATGCTGCTCTTTGGAAATGTGAGCTAGACATAGGCATTCGGTAGAATCAGCCTCTGATGAGCTGACAAGACCTGTCATTTTGTAAGCAGTTAACTCATTTCATATAAGCTAAGAGAATCCTTTTGGACTGGTTTATTAATGCTTGACCTGTAAGAAGAATTTCACTTTGCCATACATTCCGAGGTTTATCTTCTATGAAGTGAATATAAAGACAATTTGTGATATGGCGATTTCCACCGTGATGGATTGAAGCGAGGGCTTGGCCTAACTTTGAGCACAATTATAGGCTACATTCAAAAGAAGTATTATTAATCGCGGTGAACGACAGTTTCTGTCCTGATACGCCTTGAAGATATGAACAGAAACTGGGTTTCGATGAATCTCCTGAGATAAAATTGTTGGCGCGACTTTTGTTTCGTATGAACGTGCATGAAGGAGAGGTTCGTTGGTGGATCTAACAAGAAGAGGACGGATGAATCGCGTTGTACTGCAGCGGTTTGGCTTTCAAGACGACGCTCAGGTTGACGCAGACTGCGAGACCTCCTCCCTCGTTTCGGGTGAAAACATGCTGAGCTAGCGTCCATCATTTGATCGACATCATCAGACATGAGTCTAATTTCTGTAAAATTGTCACGTTGACACAAGAGCAAGAAGACTATCCGGTTCTATCTTACCTCTTATATAGACTTAATTAAGAAAAATAAAAATAAAAACCGAAATAGATAAAGAGTGGTTTGGCTAATTTTCTTTCTTTCTTGTCCTCCTACTTTTGATCGAGTGTGTGTGTGTGTGTGTGTGTTAGCGTCTATACGCTGGGGAAGCGTAATCTGGCAAATCTAGTTTTTTTGATCAGTTTACTCAAGTATTGTTTCGAGATTATCAGTAAATCAGTAATCAGTAATAATCAGTTTACTCTGACATGTTGGAAGAATGCGAGTAAAGTTAGAACCATCACCGAGCAGACAAATTGAGTCGTCTTCTTTTGGACGGCGGCTCAACACCTTCTCTCTCCTTCAGTCTATCAATCAAGCATAAGAAGTTCGTACTCAACTTTCTACCACCGTTCCTCACATTCAACGAATTACGTGAGCTACTACTTTCAATAGCCTCTCTTATTTTTCTTTTAACCATAGACGTACCATAATCAGCAAACCCATTCGTTTGAGACCATTCTATTTAATGTCCAATCTATATCGCATAGGTCGGCATGTCTCACCAACATAACATCGAGCACATGAGCAAAACAATCTTGTAGCAGCCAGATCTCGATAATGGGTCATATTTCTCTCTAAAAGATGGCATAACAGAAGAAAGTGTGAGGGTATCTTTGAAAAGTGTTTTTGTGCCCCACTTCTTTACTAATTCGCCTATCGGTTTTGAGAAAGGGCATGACGAAAAAATTGGGACATGCGATAAGGTCTCAGTCTGTCTCTCTTTGACTAAATGGTCTCCGTCTAAAAATATTTTCCTCAGTAGAGAGATATTATTCTCAATAAAGCCCAAAGAATAATTATTTTCCAAGAATACATTTGTTAGCCGTTCCAACTCTAGTCAAATGTTTGCTATCCGCTGGCCTCATACTTCTAATAATCATTGACTTCAAAATGCCAAGCTTACTCTTGTAGCTATGCTTAGAAAGAAAATTAAGCAAAAAGCCAACATATGTTGGCCTTCTATAAACATATCTTCCTAACCTACCTTTTTCTTTAATGATGAGAGCATCCAGAAAAGGTAATGACTTATTCTCTTTCATTTTCATTGTTAACCTAATGTTCCCTTCCCGCTGGTTAAGTGAAAGTAGGAAACTATCTAAACTTTCCTTCCCATGAGGCC